TAATACTTAAAATTTGCCTTAAGAATGCTCTTGTTATAATGATAAGACTCCTAACACTAATTTACTAATTTATATTTAGCTTTCATAGTAAATACTTTGAATCTTTGATTTACTTACTATACTAAACTTTACTCAAGATTTTTTTCTGAGATCTAAAAGCCAGAATATTTATACAGATCAGTGGTCAATGATGCAATTTTTTAAAATAATATGTAAACAAGTAATTCTTTCTGTAAGAACCTAAAGGTGCTTAAACACAAATCTGATGTTTTAACATTTTCTAAAATTTTCTGTATAATTTCATATCTAATATGTTGCTATAGCATTTCAAAGGAAAATACATCAAAAATCTTATTTTTTGTGGAAGTTATTGAAACTTTGTATTTCTAGAGTCGTTTGATTGACACTTCCTTGCACCTTCACAATTTTTTAAAATTTATCCTTCATTAATAAATGTAGCAATTTTGTTGTGTATATTCATAAAAAATATTAAAACTATAATGTAGAAAATTCAGAGCAGAAATGTGCAACATCAGTTTTGCTCAGTATGTGGTGTATGCAGAGTTTAACAATTGAAACGCTGACATTAACAACAACAGAACTCGTGCCCTGTTTACAAAAATTGTGAACGTTTCAGCGGTGTATTTAATTTGTTGAACTATGTACACAACATTGAGCATGTGCTTGCATTACTAGGCATAAGTTTGCTATATCGCACATTTCTATTCTGAATTTTTTATATTATAGTTTTAATATTTTTTATTTAATACAGAACAAATATGCTACTTTTCTTATGTATTAAGAATTCTATGTTGATTTTAAATCATAATAATAAATTATAATAAAAGTGAATTCATTCTTCGTTAAACTCACATTTCACATTTATGTACTAGTAAATATTATACACAAATCTTCAGAATTTTAATAAAATGTACTTTTTCGAATTCAACAACATTTTATTTATTACAACTGAAAAAATTATATTGTTTTGCACACTTTCATTCATTAATTTATAAGAATCAAAATTTTGACAAAATATGTATATATATTATATATGAGTATAACATGTTATATGAAACATTATTAATAACTTTTTATGAAATACAATAGATGATCCTCAAACCTGACTCCAATGTATAAATAAACAATACATGTACAATGAATTAACTTTCACTACATGTGTAGGTATCTATACGACCCAACTCCAAGAGACACCTACTAATTACAATCTTTGCCAGTAAACAGAATGATCGATAATCACTACCAACGCTTTATGAGGCACACTAGTTAAATTAACTATAGGCATTTCTTCGTGAAGGATGACGTCTAGTTCCCTAAGTATCCTTATTCGACCAGACACACTTGCCGTTGACCCTTTGTATTGATCAGGTAAAACGAAAAAACCCATAGTAACATATATATAAAAACAACAGTCTAGCAATTGATATATATATGCATAAGTCAAGAAAGGCCAGTTTATAACAACAATAAAAGTGAGATTCTGACCTGAGCAAAACCGTTGAAAGCCTTGTAACATCAAGTACATTAATTTTCATATGAAACAAATATTGCCCAATCATATCAGTTTACCGGGATAAATCAAGTGGACATGAATGTAATTGAATATTGCGAATAATTAAAATACCGCCAAGTGATGATTTCAATATATACAATATTAAATGAATATTAAAAAGTGGTGTGCTTATAACGGGGAATACAAACAAGTAGTCCAAGAGCCACAGCGTCATCAGAGTAACTCTGTACTGCAGATTCTTTCACAATATATTCCAAAAAAATAATAATAAAACCACATACACCTACATACGGTGATTATTAATTCTTCTTTCACTGAGATTCTTCAACATAAATATGATCACGAATTTGTTATTTTTGATTATTTTTGATACATTTATATGTAAACATTGATCGGCTATAACTTATATAAGTTATATAAGGCTATAACTTAGATTTAACTTGAATTTTTACTTCTGCATGAAACTTTCGTATTCATTGCATTGTTCAAGATCCAGTGGTTCCTGACAAGAAAAATTTTAAAAGATGGCGCTAATTTTTAAAAAAGTGATATTGGAACTTTATCACACACAGCCCAATGCTGCTTTCTGGCGGTTTTTCTGGTTATTTTCAGTGTGTGTGGACCTTTGTCAGACAAAAATGTTTTAACTTACAGATGATTCGAAACATACAAAACATTAATACTATAAATCAAAGTTCTATGAAAACTCGGCATTTTGAAGAGAAAATTGCTGTTCTTTAGGATGAGGTTTCAAAACCTGAGATTTGTGTCAAGTTAGATATCCCAATGATATTGAAATACTCAGTAATACAATGATCACACTTTCCACCCACATCCATATACAAATATATAATGTATAGATGAATAAAGTTGATAGCAAAACGCAATTTACATATATAATCACGCCAATGGTATTGGTTTTTTTAACAAATCAAAATATGAAAACGTTTTGTAGTTATTTTTTAATCAACACGGTTAAGGAACCCAAGCCTTTTGTTGCTCCTTTTTCTTTTTCGGAGGAAAATTCTCAGCATCCTCTATACACTTATTATCGGCATATTCATCCAATAATCTTTTGAAAATGGCATCACATTGCAAAAGCTTCTTGTTTCCTGTAAGATTGAAAAATGTACTTAAAATTTTCTAAAAATTAACAATATAATTTACGAGGCATTTATCTTACTTCAGACATAAACACGCAAATTTTCGAAAGCTATCTGTCCGACAAGTAGGCAATAAAAAATTCATCAAAGTCCGAAAAAAGTAAGTGGTAGTTCCTAATTATCAGACATAACAAAATAAAGTTTTGGGCAATGAAATAGAGAAAAGAATTCTGAAAAAATCAAGTTTTATTGGTGGTATATATGTAATTATGTGTATTTCAACTTTAGATGATTTACATATACAGGTATTAACCGCCTGTGTGGCGCAGTGGCTTGAGCATCTGCTCTAGAATCGTGAAGTAAGGAGTTAATCCTTACGTTTCGGGTTCGAATCCCACTGTGGGAACTAGAGACCGGTCCTTCGGTTGAGACCGTATAAACTGATGTCCCATGTTGCAGTAGGTGCTGGCACGAAAAAGATCCTTTAATGCTCAATGAAACTAACTGAGTGCCGAGTATAGGTCAAAATTGGAGGCCCTCCACTGGTAAGTGGTGGCGTCTCCATATGAGTGAAAAATTCTCAAGAGAGACGATAAAAAAACCAAACAAACATATATACCAGTAGTTATTAAACTAAATACAGTTGTATATATTTTATATCTACATAGACTAAAATTCATACATTTTCAACTAAGAAATAAATGCTTAAACACATTTTTTACATACCTATCATTATCAGTCCTTTTCTTGCTCGAGTTAGTGCAACGTTTATCTGATGCTCATCTGTGATAAAGCCCAGGTTTTCCGTACACCATCCAATCGTTGGATGAGGTTCGATTCTATAGTCTGGTAAGGACCTAACGAGACTAAATATAACATAGTCCCATTCTCCACCTGTTGAAGTCAGGATATAAGATGAATGTCGTTTGAATTTTATAAAAAAGAATTATAACTTTTAATTAATGTCATGTATAGAACAATCTTTTATCAGATTTTTTTTCAGATACTAGATAAATATTTGGTATATGCATGTTCTTGATAAATAACAAGTTTTAATGTATCTATAAGCATTAGATATTAACTTCTAAGAAAAAAGCCATGAAATAAAACATGAACAAATACTTAGCTAAAGCTAAAATCTAACCTTGACTTGCCACAACTGTATTGACATGAGGAGCATATCTTTTAAGCCTCTCTTTGATTTTACTGCACTGTGCATTGTACTGTGACATGATGTTGATATTTTTTGCACTTATCCCTTCTTTTTTCACCAAATGCAGATATACTTTTTCCTTTGAAAAGATAAAGTATGAACCGTGATCATGCACGTGGGTAAATGAGGATGTGATTTATTGAAACAAAACGGCATAAACAAACTTGAAAAATCCCTCTTTTTATTCATTATTATAAACATATCATTGCCTCCTGTACATAAAGAAAAAGAATATCTTTTTCATAAAGGTCTGTCCGCTTTTTGTTTATATCTAATATGTAGAAAGACACAAGTCTTCCATTCAAAAGACATGCACGATGTTAAAATTTTTCAGAAGAATTATACAACTTAAATTTTGCCACTGCAATTTTCAATCTTGAAATTGATCCCTTTTTTAAAATAAATGTTGGAAATCTGTTTTGTAATTAATTTCAATTTTGTTCATTCATTTGAACTGGAGTGTTCTTTAACTATTAAGTGTAAAACTCCATTGTCATTTTTTTTTTTAAAAATATAAAATATATTATATCAAAAATAAGTTTACCACTTGATCAATTTCTGCATCATTAAATTTAGACATCTCATTGCCCTCTTCAGACATGTTTGAAAGATAATCCTCTTGACCTTCCATATGACAGAAAACTAAGGGATTCTCCGAATCCCGCCACAAACTTAGAGGTTGTAACATCTTCCATTTTTGAGGATCGTTTGTTATAAGCTTTTCGTCGTAAAATGCCTTGGATGGGAAGCTACATAGACTTGGATGCTAAAATTCAAGTTAATTTTTAAATATTTAATTTAACATTAAATTGCCTAAAAACTCAATTATTTTACACTGTAAGTTACTTACCATTCTGAACTGATCGGTTAGAAGTGTAAGTACTTTTTTTGAGGCTTGTGATTCGGCATAGCGCTCAAACATTGACTTTTGAAGTCCCAAGGCAGCAGCTTCCTGACACGTTACAATTGGTTGAAGCTGTTTATGGTCACCTATCAAAACGACTTGCTTTGCTTGTGTCGCTACAATTGCTGCCAAACATTCCGGTTCTGTACACATACCTGCTTCATCAATCAAGAGCTGGTAAATTGATTTGGCCGTGGCTTCCAGAAATCGTGAACTTGTGGCAACTGCAGTTGTGCACAAAATGACATCATATTTGGGTATTTCGTCCTGTACGGCTTTGAATATGTATTTTTTGTATTCCTTAATGTCTTGATAATCTATTTTCTTTTCTAGTTTGAATTTCCTATCAAAATCTCTTATCTTTTCGGCATATTTATTCCCGGATTTTCGAATTAGATGATGTAAAGAAACATCGTGAAGAGATTCATCTGGTGCAGACTCGTTCTTTCTTTTTGAAAACACCTTGCCCGGCATTGGAAATTCTTTGCACTCTAAAGAATTACCGTACATTCGAAGAATATTTAATTCTGGAGGACTAATTCTTTTTAAGTAAACTGAAAAATAAGTTCAAGCAAAAATCGCTTAGAAACATGAACAAGTTTGATTTTTTTAAAAATGTTTGAATATGACAAATAATGAAACTTATCTATTTACCTGTAACTAAATCAACAGATTTATTGGACGGACCGCAAAATACAACGTAGTCTTTTTTACCTCCCTTCATTTCAAAATAACGACGATTAATGGAGCTGAAGAGATTTATCAGCGCAACTCCAGTTACTGTTTTTCCGGTACCTGAAGCAATTTCAAGCATACTGTAAACATATTGTAATCTTTGACTTTATCCTTCAAAAATTGAAACATTTACACATCCAAAAATATTAACATACAAAACTTCATCTTGCTCTGATATTATTGAGCAAAAACTTTCAATTTGTCAAATGAGGGGTACAGCATTTTATCAAATATTTCATCTTTTAATGCATGGTATTTTAAAACATACATGTATTGCCACCTTTTATTAAATTTTATCGGCAAAAACTTTTTTTAAGTTAGTGACATACAAGTTGATAAAGCAAGATCTAGAATATCGGAAGTCTCGTTTAAAGTCATCATTTCGTAAGTTCTACACTCGATAAAATCACTCTGACTGACCTTTTTCATACTGATGTTAGGCCATTATTTACACAATGAGTTGTCGACGGATTTGTCCTTTTTTCCCGAACATGACAAGAAGCACACAGCGGGTGAGACCGGTCGGCAGGGGTTGCTCACTCATCCGTGGCACCTGATCCCATTTCTGATGTTTTGGAGGTTTGTGTTTACTTCGCTCCTATTTTGTAATGTTTAATGGACTTTTCTACTTGAATACCGTTCGTTATATTCACATATTTCATTATGTAACATTTTTTCACCAGTCATAGTACTAATGGACTTTATACATCCATTTCTATTTTTCCTTAAGATATTACTCTTTTGTAATATGTTGTGTTACATGTAATTGTCGTGTTACCTGGTGGGCCCTGGATCAAGGAAAAGCTTGAAGCGAGTGCATTTTTGATGGCTTTTTGTTGGTTCCTGTTGAATATTATTCCAATTTTTTGAATTTCAAGGTCCAGCATGTGATCTCCAAAATCTTTGTGAATTTTATCTGAAGTATGCAATGTTCCATATATACCTATTTAAACATGAAAGCTATGTGACTGTTATAGGGTACCTTTAAAGTGCGAAACGAAGCGAAATCTACCGAAACGAAACGAAATCAAAACGAAACCTAACATGTGGACTTTTTCTACTTTAAATAAAATTTATATAGTTCAAGCACTTGTTAATATAAAATTTAAATACCTATACATTATGCTCTCTTCTCGAATGATGTATTTATATGTATGAACTGCTGCAAGCTGCAAATACGTGCGAGCATACTATGCATGTAAAATTTCAATATGTGCAGTATTTTCTAATTTTTACGTCGTCGTCTTATTTTCAGCCCTTATTTATTTAGATACAACACATAGGCGTCGGAACCGGGAGGGGGGCAGGCACGTAGCAAGGGGGGGGGGGGAGAGCGCCCCCCCCCCCACTTTTTTTCCAAAACATTACCTTTACTATTGAAAATGTTTATTGAAAGGTTGGATGCCCCCCCCCCCCAACTTCTTACCACTGTAAAATGATATCAAGGAAATGTAATATTGTATGCAAAAAAAAAGGGAAGTAAAAGAACGTTAGCATTGAAAAAAGTTGGCCACTACCCCCCCCCCCCCCCCCCCCCCCCTTTTTTCCCAACACATTACCTTTACTATTGAAAATGTTCATTTAACGGTTGGATCCCCCCACTTCTTACCACAGTAAAATTATATCAAGGAAATATAATATTGTATGCAAAAAAAATGGAAGTCAAAGATAGTTGGCATTTAAAAAGTTGGCCACTACCCCCCCCCCCCAACACACACACACACACACACACACGCACAAAATAGGATTTTCGAGTTTGGTCAATTTCTATTCTTTTTTTTTTGCTTGTCAACTTCAACAAGTAAGTAAAAAAAATTCTCTGGCTGCCCTACCTTCTTTCAAAAACAATGCTACGTGCCGGGGGGGGGGGGGGGCTAGGTAAGCCCCCCCCCCCACTTTCTTTTGCACATATATACATAATATAGGCATTGAAAATTGGAGTTAATCTTTTTTTGTTGGTTTAGCCCCCCATACCAAACGACGCCCATGCAACATTTCTATCAAAACTGATGTGTTACATGTAAAGGTTCAAAACAAGAAACTTACGAGTATTTCATTCCGAGGTGTCTGGTTTTATCGTTCACTTATACATGTATCTCCAACCGCAGTCTGTATCCTATCTACGTTCACACGGCCTTATTTTGTATCGGGGTAATTTTCGTGGAAGAAATGAGTAGTTTGCAATAAAGAGGCTCGACCAAAGACGTCTAAAAGCATCTGATTGACAAGAAAAAATCAGCGAACGATGTCAATTTAATGTAGGTCAATGATTGATATACGAGGTTCATTCAAAAAGTTCGAAGACTTTTGCCTTAATTTTTTTATTTAACGTCATATCATATCCAAATTTGGTACACACATTTAAACAACAAATTCGAATAATTTGAGTAAAAAAATTGGAATATATCTTCATATTTATTAAAAGTACCAAGGATTTAGAACAGCAATAATGGGGTCACGGAGCACAGTCAAAATTGAGTAATTTACTAATTTTCCCTTTATAGTATAAGCCATACCGCTAGTTAATGGAGCTGAAACAAATTTTAAATTACATGTTTAAATTTAGTCGTGCTGTATTACCTAAGATGCTATTATATAAAAGGAAAACCATTGTCAACCGACGCGTCAGCGGAGGTTGACAATGGTTTTCCGAGGGGTGCCAATTTCAACTGTTACCCTCCAAAACAGGCACCATTTATTTTATTATACTGAATGTCTTCTTGATTTAGGATGTCAGCAAAAAAATCGTTGATCGTCTTTACGTTCACGTTTAGATAGCTTTCAAACCCCCCGCTACTTTGAAAAAGATTTACTGACCTATTTATAGTTAATTTGATACTCTAAGAGTCCTTTATCATCTAAAGGTTCGTTATTTCTGTACTCTCAAGCATGTTTCGTCTGTCGTTTGTTGTTTTCAAGTAAGCTACTTTGGAGACAAGCTTTTTTTGACGTCAAGTTTATTCCGGTTCTTTCAAACGCGCAACTGACGTTTTGAGAATTCTACGGTGAACCGTACGCGCATAATTTCCACGCATGTGGCATTACCGTTGTGTTACCCGTTGCCACGTGTGTTGCTACGGCTGAGGGTAATAGAACGGATTGTTAACTGCGTCTAAACCAATCAGATTGTAGTATTTAACATGAAAGTATAATAAAAGGTAATGTAATATGTCGCTCCGTTTAAAAGATATCAGTTTCTAAACACTTATTGAATTGATTAAAAATGGTTTTAAAAAAACATGACGGTGGAGGACGTCACAAAGCAGCGAGTAGCAATAAAATTTTGCTTTGCATTCCTGAAACTTCTTAAACAAACTTAAAATTTTTTGTACAAACCAAAAAATATATGAAAATAAGCATTTGTATAAATGTGGAAAATACAATTTTTGAGTGGTAGAGAGTTTGAATCGGACGATGGATGGCCTGCAAAGAAACAGGTTTTAGTTTAAAATCTTGTCAAAAGAGAACGTCATTAAACGTGATGTGCGTTTCATTGTTGCGGAACTAATCAAGTTACATGTACGCATTAAAGAATTTGAAAACACTGACAGCCTAGTTCAAGCTATTTGCACAATTGTTAGCAAACTAGGTGTTAAATTATGGATACGTTTTTATGAATGGAGAAGACGCTACAAACCGTGTATGACATTAAAAAGCTGAGTAATTTTGAGAAACTTTTACGGCGTTGTTTTTGACGTTACAATGTTGGTAACCGAGCTCCGTGGTAACAAAACATGCTGCTTTAAAAATTGGCTAACTTGAGATCTATTTAAATCAAATGGAATAAAATTTCAGACTTCGACAAAATAAATGTTCATATTTACGATGTGTTCATCTATCATCTTGTAATAATAATAATATGACAATGAGGAACATAGTCAACGTATTTTTTGAATGACCCTCGTATTAACGAAATATGAGTTTGAAGCGAGGGTGCCTGAAAGTGAATTAGGTACCTAATGTTACAAACAAGTAGGGTACCCTTTATACGAAACAATTGCCTGTGTTAACAAGTGCTTGAACTATATGAATTTCATATGAAGTAACAATAGACCATATACAGTTACACATTATATATAATGTAATATAATGTAATAATGCAATATAATATTGATGTATACCGGTATACCTTGATTTGAAAAAAAAACATTCCGAAAGTTTTGTTTTGATTCGGCAGGTTTCGTTTTGATTTCGTTTCGTTTTGATTTCGTCTCGTTTCGTAGATTTAGTTTCGTTTCGGTAGATTTCGTTTCGTTTCAGTTCGTTTCGTTTCTATTTCATTTCGCACTTTACAGGTACAACTGTTATATATAAAAAGTGCAGTCATTTTAGTAGCGGTAATTTTTAATTTTTTACTATGAGATTTTTTAAAATTACCAAGTACAGGAAGTGGTCCTCTCAGTGCAATAGCTTTAGCAAGTTCAGAAGCTCTTTCCAACCATTTTACGTACAACTCTGTCCGCCTTCAATGAAAGTAAGAGAGAAATTATGTATTAGTTTATTTTTAAAATACATCAGAAAAATTTATCAATTAAAAACCTCACCTGCTGACATCTGCTTTACGTAATATTTCCAAACTACAATCCCTCTTCTTATTTAGAATTTCCTGGGGAATTGGAGGGGTTCTTTGGTGACAAACAAACGTCACACAGACTTTCTTCTCGTTTTTCTTCGTTAAAAACTGCACATCGTTTACTTGAGCATGGCCTACCCAATACCTTTTCTCCGGGGAAATAGCACCTTTGCCAAAATTACTTACAACATCGCTTAATGGTTCCAAAGGACACCTTATACAGAGAAAATCAGATCCAGGCATATAAAAACGTTCTTTGTCTTCATTTTCTTTTTTTACATCCTCATCTGTATTTAATAGATCTGTCGAATGTGCAGTGAAATGAATGTCACGTTTTTCAAGAAAAGACTGTTTAAGAGAAAATCCTCCGCCTCTTAGACGAAAAGTGATTGGCAAATCAGTTATTGTTATAGAATCATCATCTGTTGTTTGAATTGCAACTTCCATGGAGAATATAGGCATCCAAATTTCGATGTATTCGCTACATGAAGAGTACTTTTCTTTTGTTGATTTCGTTGCTATTGAGGACAAAGTACCAAGAGGATCTCTAGCATGTTGTAAACAGATTTTTACATTCGGTGTTATGTCGAACAGTTGTGGCATAGGAGATATTATGCCTCTCTCTGGCTCCGCACACATCTGAATTGCAACAAGTTGGCCATAATTGAATGACAGGCTGTAGTTGCACATTTGGTCAGCAAAATATCCACCGCGAACTTCTGAACTTACATCATTTACTGTGTCCCATGATGCTCGTACTTGTTTATTTGAAATTGGTTGATCCTCAGCTGACATTAGTGAGTTAATATCTTTTGCTTTTCCATTAAAAAGTGCTTGCATTATATTTACCCACTGTTTAAGCTGACGAAATTGGACATGTTGATGCGGATTTATTCTGAGATAAATATTCTCCTTTGGTGGATTTTTTGTTCTCGTCTTCAACGAATATATCCGGTTTTGCCATTTGATAGTCATAAAATACCTATCAGAATTGTTTCCTTTATCAAATTTAGGTTTCTGCTTTGAATGTAATAAGTTAATTGGTAACAGCTTGCTTGTTCTGCTCAATTTACGTAATGTAGGAAAAGTTAACACAATGTCATTATTTGTGACATTTTGAATGAAGCCATTGAAAACACGGGGATCATTACTTAATGAATGGGCAAACAATAACTTCATACAACTTTTTTTGAACTGCTTTCTGATGCGATCTGTTTGGTTCATCTCCAAACAGATTTTTCGAATTTCATTTTCACTATAGGGGGGCTCTGTCAAATTGTCAAGTGCTGCATGTACCATTCTATGAACAACAAGATCTATAAAGCGACTGAGCGGAGCGGTAAAAGTTGTGAAGATGGGGACACGCAAATCAAAATGAAGTGACTCTTGCTGCTTAGAAATTAAGCATTTGTATTCAGCTGCTTCCTGTATTGCGAACCACTCTTCTAGGGCTAAGTTCTGCAGTGGATAGATTCCATCAGCACCAAGAACAACTTGTAATTTGTCATATTGATTTAATCTAGCGCATTCTTTCAATGCACCCCAAACTTTATTTTGAACAGGTATAAGATTCCTATATCGCATTTGGCTCGGATTGCAGTTGAAAACAGAACATACGGCACCAGTACCTATTTTACAATCCTGTAGATGAAATAAAATGTTATCGATGTGCTCATCGTGAGCATTTTTCCATCTCCAGAGTAGTTTTTCAGATGGGCAGACATGACACTTGCAAGGTACACATCTGGGATATTTTGCGAAAAGAAACTTTGCAACAGTTTGATTAGTAAAAATATTTAGCTCTTGCACTAACAAATATGCATCTATACATTCAATAAAATTATTTTTCTCATACGGAAACATATCATTCACTTCTGTGTAATATGCCGCATTTCCAATCCTTTGTTTGCGTAGCTTTTTTGAAATCATATGTAATATATGAATATCACCTTTCATATGCTTTGACTTTAAGAGATTTTGAACATCAGATATGGTGTACTGCTTTTCAGATTTTACTATAGATCTCTTTACTTGTCCATTATTGTCTGAGTACTTCAGAGATTTGGTTTCCTCTTCGTCAAAACAAAAGTCGAAAAAAACACTCAATGTTTTTCTCTCTTTACCAGTTTCCAAGTTGAATAATTCATTGCTAAGTCGTTCAGGAATCATGAACACTGGACGTATCTCTTTGTTTACATAGAAGTCCGACCCACGTCTTCTTGCTTCTGTGTCAAGGACATCTCCCTTTTTAATTATTGATGTGGGGTCTATTACATGTACACCGACGCGGTAGAGACCCGAATCTAAACGATTTACACTATAACAAGTTTCTGTAGCACCTTCTTTTCCATCATCTATTGTAAAAACTTTGATGAATTCTTTCTCTTCAACCAGGGCTCTTTCTCTTTTTTCTAATATTGAGTCGGTTGCCTTTCTGGCCTCTTTACTGTTAGTACAAGGCACGCGATATTGGAGTTGAAGTATGCCAAGGCCTGATTTGATATCTCCTTTTGTGTTAATTACACTTAAAATTATTCCAAATGGATACATGTCATTCCAATTTAGGATTGCAACCAAAAAACAGCATGAATGCCTACGTGTATGACTGATATCCAAATTTTTCTGAAATTCAACAACTCTTCTCTCTGTATCATATGAAAACAAATCTACTTGATATTTGTGTTTACAATTCTTATGAGAAACATTAATTTTCGGAACTGTCTTGCAAAGGGGTATCATCATATGATCTGAAAATTCATCTTTAGAGCAGATAAGCACGGGATGTTCTAAATCTCCATATCTATTTCTTTTTAATCTTCCGAGAACTTTCCCAAAGATGTCCTTGTCTTTCACTTCTTTAACATCTTTTTTCAATTTGGGAATGGTAGAACTCTGAGCTTTAGATACTCCAAGAATTTCTACAACCACTTCGTCATCAGAAAATGCCTTTCCACATTTCGATCTTCCAGAAATGATAATTTCTTTCACATCGTCTGCCAAATCTAAATTTTTACAAATTGCTTTGTGAGCTGATTCTATCTCAATACTACAGCGTTTATACTTACTTTTGTCCTGCTCAAGGTAGCTAAGAAGATTTTGTTTGTCCATTTCATTTTGGTATTGAAATGACTTTGATTTTCTTTTTGTCTGAAAACTGGCTTTACAATCGTCCGTCAAAGTTAATCCAAAAACAACGAGATCACTGTTTGTGGGTGTATTATCAGGACTTGCTTCATTATATCTGAATTGAGACTCGTCATCAAGTGTTTCAAAACCACTGTCACTGAAGGTATCTGTCTCAGATATCTGATATTCTGGTGCTTCATAAGAAAAGGGCATTTTCTTTGGGCATTCATTCTCACTAATTGATGCCTGTCCAGAATCGGAATCACTGTCTTTTGTTTCTACTGGTTCCAAGTCGTAATCCTCTTCTTTTTCGATTGTATTTTTGTGTTTTGTTCTTTTTTTCTTCACCATTGGCTCAAGAACATAACGAGGTACGTCTCTCCATGTTCTATATTTAGAATAGTCTTCAAAAGACATTGCGGTTTTATCAAGTTCTTCAGTCGGTGGCAATTTAGGTTCCTCTTTTTCTGGTCTCTTGGCTACCATAGAAATAAAACTCTTCAACGTAAAATGATTTCTAATCTTTGTATGATAGATAATATAAAATATGTTATATGCCACTTTTAAAAAATCAAAAGCACTCGGAGTTTTGTTTATATATTGACTACTTTGAATATAGACCACCCAAAAACACTTACATTAAAAAATTAGCAAAACTTATCAGTAGTTTGAAGAGAAATAAATAACAATTACTTGTATGACAAGTTTCATGCACCAATTTTTTAAAAAACTGAAACAAGTGTCTTGTATTTTTTGGGAATACTGACACTGTTTGCTTATTTAAAACGATATCATAAAACCGATAGATTAATTTACAGGAATGGTTCTTGAAACCTATAATCTCCATTATACACAAAACATTTTTTTGTCGCCTTCAAAGCAGAGCGGCACTTTTGGGATCACATTACCCGGCGTCTGTCTGTCCATCGGTCCTTCTGTCAGTCTGTCATACTTTACATTTCAAGAACTGTTAATAGTATAGATTTGATATTTTGCACACATATATCTTGGTACTAGGACTTTTGTATTTTCCATGTTTACCGACCTAGTTATCCTTGAATTTGACCTTTGACCTAATCTTTGAAGTTGACATTACCGATATACAACTTCTTTTTGATATTTAAGATATAAGTTTAAGCTAATTAGCATATGCACTGTTTGCCATGAAACTTTTGAAAAATATCAGCGTTACAGTCCACTTGACTTGACCTATGAACTACTTTGCAAAATAGACTGCAGCACGTAAAATTCAATTCATGTCTTTTGAATTAGGAGAGACGGGAATTTGATAATTATAAAGTATTTATGCACGTTCATAAGCTCATGACAATGTACTCTTTATGAAATACAGCAATCACAAAAAATACTAAGAAAATATATACATCGGGATCGGTATGTACACTGAGAATTGTGGTAAAAATAGACTGAATTCTCCGACTGTTTGAAATCACATATTAATTAACCAAATCAATTGATAAATGATTATTTATAATAATATAAACTTTATTAACATCCCTTCTACCTTTGAGGGGTTGGGGAAGTGTATTTCTATTTGATTTCCAGACTTACTATCCTTGGATTTTTTCTTCATGAACTAAATACTAATAGAACACCACTCTTAGATTCAGTTACATCTCTAAAGAAGCCAAATGCAGGCGACACATGCGTTCCTTGGAACACTCCAGTTACTGAGTATTATAGAGATTGGTGTGACATTGTTAGCTTGGTCCTTCGATTTAAATTATAATCATCTTTAAATTAACATATGGTAGTTGTACAACATATTATTTTACGTATTGCATTGAAATACCGGTAAAGCAAGAGAATTAACCATATTTAACTGATTCTTTGCTCCTGTACATTCGAGATACTGAACTGTTTGTTTGAAAAAATGTCTAAATGTTTAAAACAATATATGCATGTTCTGTTTTATTTACATATAATTATACTGATGAATAATAATATGTAATATTCAGATATACACTTTAATATTAATCAGTCCGCAATAATATTGCCTGTTTACTCACGTCTACGGTGTGGCTTCTTTACATGCTCTTCTTTGATTTGTAACACTTTTTCCTTCATCTACCAAATTGATCGACATAATCTAATTATACAAAAAATATTTTAGGTTTGATTCCTTTCATTTAACTTGAAACCTAAGAAAATTTATTAATGTACCTGTTGTGGCAGTCTTATATTAGTTTCTAATAGCCATTCAACATCTATATGGCTTTGGTCCTCTGGCACACGATTCAATTCCAAAATAAGCGAATCTCTTAATTTTCTTAAATCTTCTAAGCTTATTTCTGTCTAAAAGCAAACAATGAAAGAATTAAAAACACGCGTTCATCCCTTCTTATAAATGCAATTAATTAATTCAATTTTGGAAAATGATCTTTTTAGAGATTTTATGGAATGTCACCTATACCCCCTTTGAAGCATTACAGCTAGTTTTTCACAGAAATTAAGGTCACATTGTCATTATGCAAAAATGTGTAACGAGTCAACAAAATACATTTTAAAAGTGATATCTTCATTATTTTAAAGTTTATTCAACTTAATTAAAATATTATTCATACATAATTATTGGTAATATCTTGATATACACATCGCAGATGGATTGTGATAGTTCTCAAATGTTTTTTCGTGGTTTCTCGTCAAATGTAGCCGTGTATTTACTCATTCTTTTAAAAGCAGTTCTTTGCCATGCATTGACTCAAAAACAGTGCAAATCATGTAACTTTTGTATTTCTAAAACAATTATGATTTCAATGGTAACAACTTACTACATGTATTTTAAAAGATGAACAATGCTTTTTTATCCTGAATTTTGGCACGATTTCTTTATGCAGCATTGTCTTTTTTCGGCGCTATATTTCGACAAAACCACGACGAGTATGGAAAATGTGCAAAGTACGTCGAAAAATACTCATCTTTAAGATGACAGTTTGAAAATTTCATCTAAATAATATCAAAGAAAGCTGGATAATTTTAATTTGTCAAAACCTATGGTGAATTCATACATAGGTAATATCATATCATTTATTAATGCAGTCTCATTTAAAACATCGACTTTAAAACTTTAAGATTATGAATTTAAAGAATATACATTTGTATACCTTTAACATAAGATATTAATAACATATTAGGGCTATGTCTCGTATTAAACAATGTGACCTTAATTTGCGCAAAAAACCATGTGAGCTTAGAAAGTGCGTTGAGCTGTATAGTCTGTAGTGATGTGTTTTCAAAATATTGTTGAAGTCTAAAACAAATTTCTTTCAGTTTAAAATCAGAATTAAATTCAACCCACATATCTAGTTATCGTCAATTAAATGAGCATGTTGGGAAAAAATGAGAATGTTTTCTTCTAAATGACTTTCAATGATAATATTTTAGACAAATATGTTAAACAAGCTGAGGGAGCAAAATTTGTGAAAAAAGAATAAAAGTTATTCACTCAACTTTTTTTTAAATAAAAAGATGAGCTCTCACTGAGATTGGAAATTATTATAACATGTAATTATAAATTTGAGACACAAGAAGTTTGATCAAATTTTTAACCGCAAGATTTTCAGCCAGTCATGGCCAATGGGAGTTTGTTGCGATATCGGACAAGGAAATGTATCCAGATTGTCTTGCGTCTCTCATAAAACGGTAATTTGTATGTTCTTATACTCCTCATCAAAAATAACGTAAAATAAGATACAGGTATCGAGATTACTTTTCACATGATTTCAAATTAAATGCCATGAAAATACTTTATTTCTACATAATCTAATTAGAGCTGTAAAGAACGGGAAATGGAAAGCGTAAAGGCCCTTTCACAATTGGCGCACGAGCAGAAGCGACAAAATATTCGTGCGACCGAATAATTTTGTTTAGGATCGTAAACTGTTGCCAAAATAATCGCATATGAAAAAAGTGTTCGTACGAAATGCGCACGATTTAAAGCGACTGTTGTGCATTAAATCTTGCTATAAATCTTGCGTCTAAATGCGACTGATGTAGAATGAAAGCGAGTGTTGTAAGATAATGCGATAGGATTGCACGACTAATCGAGTAATCGGACGACTGAACCTGCGACAATACGATTGGACGTGCGGTGCTCGTGCGCTCATGAATTCCATAGTACGAATGTTCGTGCGAGTCAGAGGCCGGGTATATATACAACCCGTTTCCGACGCTCTTAAGTTGACATAGTTAAAGATGCTTATAATTATACACGGTATATATACCTGTTGCAAAGAATGACAATTGAAGGTGATAGATCGAGCAATGGTAGTAAAAACATCGCAAGATTACGTGAGACATGTTGAGCAACAGTCTCATGGTCGCAAAACACACGCAAAGACAGCTGCAATTCATCTTACGATCTTTAAAAATCGTACATCACTCTTACGAGTACATAAAACGTTGTAAGACGTTCGCACTAACTTTCGTGCGTTGAATTGCGATAATTTGGATCGCATTTGGTCGCGTCTGAATAGTGTGCATGTTGACTTTTTTGAAGAGACTTGATGCGACCACTAAAACACATGCAATGAATGCGAGACATCGTGCAACGTATGCGAGAGCTCGTGCGAAGCTAAAATTTTCCGATCGCAAAGTGTTGTCAAGTGCTCGTGCGCCAATTGTGAAAGAGCCTTAAACTGATTATGATTATGAATTAACTCATTATTTATCTAACATGGATGTGACTTGCATGTCACATCTTGTGGCCTATTTTGCTTTGATGTGCCATCTTTTTTGTAACTTTTTCATATGATGTTTTGATTGTCTTGTCTTACAGATACTTTTTTCCAGTCAGTTTTGGGGGATCAGAAATTATTATCAAATTTTACGTAACTGCTATTTAAAGCTTGTGAATTTGATCCCCTTCTTGTTGTTAAATTGTTCACATTTATACCGTCATTTTAATAAATGACATTATTCATCTATATGAAAGTGTTTTATTTGACTTATACAAAATTAGCATCAACAAGCTGCGGTGAGCCTGCCTATAGGCATAAGAATACATAAAATTACTTTGAAATAAATACCTCAGCACAATGTACTTCAATAGCTTCCTCTGTTTTCTTCAGTGCCACATCAAATTTTCCGAGGACATTTAAAGCCTTAGCCCACATGTACAGATTATTAGCGTCCATTTCGTCCCCATCTCGATCTAAACAGAATAAACGTTTATTGTTATCTCAAGGTATATTTTCTATTCTAAGATTGTTTTTCGTTAATGTAATCTATGTAAGAATTGTGTATATTCAAAGAGCAAAGTTTATCAAATCGATGAATAAAATGTCATACACATTCTATTTATATTATTTTTTTCATATTATTTTAAAGAAAGGACACCCATATTTGTTCGTAAACGGTTCTTACATTTCATGCTGTTGTGTATTCATTAAGTATTTAAAAAAAATCTTCAAAACAGTAAACCAATAGACAGTTAATCTTGTGGGTTTTTTATGTTGTGACATATGTAATTTTTGCAAAAGGACGATAAAACATGTCTCAAGCCACGGTTAGGAGTCCACGTATAGCTCTGTCCTTCAGAATGGGAGAGGATCGCATATTTTGGCCGTGATTTTCGACGATGGATAAAACTGTGTAGTATACTGTATTTGAATCTGTACCGTCTAAATTGATTTCTTCAAACTACTAGTACTTCATGGAATTGAAATGTGTGGGTCATTTTCCTTGGCCCAGTAAATTAAGAATGAAAATTTAGTGATGCTAGACATATATTTACAATTGCTAACTTTGTGTTGTTTATAAATTTAAAAATAATTTTTGAAATTATACAGAATAAAATACTGTGAGCTTTCTTTTTAAAAAATAACATTTTCTTACCTCTCTGCTTGTATATTGCACATATTAAATCGTGGTATCCCTAAATAAACAAAAATAATATATATTTAAATGTTTCTAATGTTGGCAATGACAATGATTTTATTCTCATAAATAAACAAACGTGCATTGTAGAGAGGAGGTAGTAAAGAAATAGATTGAAACAGTGCTATATAGTTACATATGTCTAGAGAAAAAATCCCTTACAATTTCAAATTGTGTATGAAAAATAAATGTAGCCCAGTTGACGTTTTGAGAAAAAAAACTTTCTTGTGAAAAATCGAGGGAAGAAATCTATAATAAAAGATCAATATGCAGACAATTTTCATTTGCGCCGGACCCGAATGCTCACTTATTAAAATTTTAAGAATTAAACTTTTTGTGTGGAATTTTCATTTAGCATTTCAAAACAAAAAATAAAAATCTACAAAAGAAAGATAATAAAACACCATTTTCGTGACATTATTTTGTTTTTAAACTTTGGGCCTGCCCACGAACTAAACGAACAGTCCTCGTATATCCCTATGATATTAAAATTCTTCAGCTGCATAAAAAATAGAGAAAATGAACGATACCTTTGTGATGATTTTCATAAATAGAAAACAAATGGGAATACCAGATTAAATTTGCACATTACATAATTGGGATCAATTTTACATCCAGATAAAAAAGGTAACCCGTCACATCAATATCAAACTGTAGCCCTATAGCTAGCTCACGCCATCCCTTTCAATATTATAAGAACACCCATACTTTATATTGCAATCTTCACCGAAACTACTCAAATAAAAGTTTACATTACTAATTTAATTTTCTTCTATGTATAAATAGAAAAATATACAACAATATAAAATATTAAGATAACAAACAATATTATTAGATAAACTAAAAGGTCCATTAAGACAACTAAAATTGGAAACAGAGAAAATACGACCTCTAAACACATCAAATGAAAACTTAAAAAAAAAACAAGGCCCCCTGTCAGGGCAGGTGTTGCCACGACGAAGGTCCCTCACTGCTCAATAGCCCTAAGTGCCGCGTAGAGGCGAAATTTGAAATCCTTCACTGGTATATAATGAGGTCTCTTTATGAGTGAAAAATACTCGAATGGGACAATATACAATTAATCAATCAATCAGAGTTTGGATGAGGTGCCATGGAGGAGTAAGCATCTTTTGTCGACCTTGACACCCGCTGTGTACTCCTTTTATGAAGCAATCGGAAAAATATACGGTGCACCTGCACACTGTTTTCCCTGTCGACAGGTCACAACCACAGCGAGCCGTATGCATTGATCAGGTGAAAGAAATAACTGGTGTGAAATATGTCAGCCGAAATACGAACCAATAACATATTATATTTTCCTACAAGCTCATTATAACGATCTTTTAATTTATGATCCGCTGACTATAAAAGAGGTTGTTGAAATCCCTGCAATATCAATTTATCAGCCAGTAGCCTGCCTCAAACTAAGAAATGATCGAACTTAGATCATGCTTTTGATTATAAGTAAGGAAACATAAACAACATATTCAGGTGACAGCGGAATATTTCTAAACTAATGATTAGGAAATGATTTGACGACTAATTAGAAAAGCTAAAACTTCGTTTGTCAAACAATTTACTTGTTAGTGTGACCTTACCATTAATAGTCAGTAAAACATCCATATTTGAATCAGATTTCGCTGACTACATAGCATCTTGTATTCCACATTCACTTAGGTATATTAAGTATATTAGGTAAATTAAAGTTTTTTCAAATGTCGGTCAAACTCCAAACAAAAATAATGGTACCCAGAGGAGGTCTTGTCATAAGAAATATTTAAATATTAAAACCCTAGCACTACTTGTTCAAAAGTTATGACCAAAGTTAATTTTCAAAATTTGGTCAAAGTAAATGATCATGGTCAAAGAGGACGAAGTTGATAATATCTTAATTTAGCTGTTGTTATAAGAACATCTATGAAAAAGTAAGATCATAATATTAACTGTTCAAAAGTAATGCTCAACGTTAAAGTTTTTTTGAAGTGCATCAAACTCTAAAGTCAAGGTCATTTCAAACCTGATGGTACCCAAAGGAAGGTCTTGTAACATTTAGTATGCATGTGAAGTTTGAAAGATGTAGCATAAATTGTTCAAAAGTTTTGGCCAAGGTATTAGTTTAAATAAAATTATAAAAGTGGGTCAAACTCCAAGGTCAAAAAGAAAAAGGTCAAATATGATTGGTACCACAGAAAAGCCTTGTCACAAGGAATACAGAGGTGAAATATGGAAGCCATATCTCTACCAATCCAAATTTATGGGCAAGGCCATCTTTAAAGGAATGTTTGCTTTCTCTGTTCCGGCTCAAGGGAAATTATTTTAAAATGTTTTGAGTCGTGCCATTTTTTTTAAAGGTGACCCAAGGTAAATGACTTTGCAGGCAAACAGACAGAAAGGGCAAAAAATATATACCCCGAATCTTCAATAATGGGAATGTCGCCCACGTGGCGCAGTGGTTAGAGCGTCTGCTCTAGAGTCACGAAGTAAGGCATTAATCCTAACATCCTTCTGATGAGATCGTTTAAACCGAGGTCCCTGCTCAATGGCCATGAGTACCGAGTATTGGACAAAATTTGAAGCTCTCCATTGGCAATTGGTGGCGTCTGCTCCATATGAGTGAAAAATTTTCGAGAGGGGCGTTCAACAATATACAATCAATTATGCAGGCAAAACAACAAAATATATTTAAAGATTTACTAACAAACTAACGGAAAGCAAATAAAATCATGTCACCTAATAGACTAGAGTGACATAATATTAATGAATTAAGCACATCAATTGTTATGCTACTTTCATGTTTTAGTGAATTCTATTTTTGAGCTATCATTTGTCTAAAATATTTATGGTCTCTTCAAAAATAACAATATAATTGTGTATTGATTTATGCAATAAATCCCTTACCTTGGAATAATACAGTTTACAGAGATGATAGTCAACCATTCGCATTCTCTGTTGAACCACAGGATAATCCTTTCGTAAGTGAAATTTGTATATAAGGCTCCTATATGACATTAGCAATTCGCAACAAATTCCAGAAGCTATGAAGCTGTAATTCTCGCAATGAAGGTAATGAAAAGTTGTCGTTTCAATATCCTTGAATAAAGTAAGAATGTCCTGTAATAGAAAATGGTAAGTCAACAAAAAATTAGTGTAACAAAATGTTAAACATTACACCCGAACAGAATTAAGTGCATACCTCAAATTCATATGGACCATATAAAATGTTAAACCAGTAGTTCCTTGACTTTATCAAAGACTCCAAGAAATTGTCATTTCCATTCTCCAATAAACGGACTAAAATTAATTGACATGGAATACAGTTAAAACGTTTCGTGAAAAAGAATGCTGTAATGATCATTTCATGTTTCGTTTTGTATCTTAGTGTAGTCTACCTGTGTGCCAAGTAATGTTAAAATCGAACCAAAACTGTAGGAGAAGTAGCATTTTAAAGTATACCACAGAAATTACTATTTTTAGTAACCATGGCAACACCGTTCATCGAAATCAAAAAAACTGTATAGACTTATGTATCTTAGTGTATTCTAATTGTGTGCCAAGTAATATTAAAATCAGACCAAAACTCTTTATATTATCTACTTATTTCAACTTACTTATGAGATGTTATGGATATAATAAACCCTGCAAAATTCTATGTTGTTGTTGCTCTAAAAGCATACATTTTATATATTCAATGACCACAAATTGAAAAAAAGAAATTATACATTTTAAAGACAATTAGCAAAAATATCAAATGAATTTTTACCTTTGCAAAAACACTTCAGGGCATAAAAATTGTCTGCACACTGAAATTAAAGGTTTTTTTTTATATTTAAATGATAAATTGCTAACTTTTGCAAGAAAAATATCAGAGTCATTTTATGTTTATCAAAAATCACAAAAATTGCACAAATCTGAGATACCTTTTCAAATATTTTTGTCAGGTCTTTGAAAAGTTTTATGTCCATTTCGTCTGAAAGTCTATCAAAAACTATTCGTGCTATTTCTTTTGCCTCCAATATATGTCCTAATTGTAGTTCATTATTTGCTTGTTCTACAAAGCGTTTCATTTTTTCTTCTGTTGTTTCTTCTTCATATGTTTCTGAAATTTCGATTGCCTGATCACTGTCTTCACCATTTCGGTCTGTTTTATTTTAAGATAAGAAACACTTATGAAAAAAAGTATCACATATATAGCAATTAAGTCGGACGTTGCAATACTCGATCTTTTTCATTTGCACTGTAAAATTTCCCATTTGTTTCA